AGTGGCCCCCGGAGAGGCAGAGTGGCCCCCGGAGAGGCAGTGGCCCCCGGAGAGGCAGTGGCCGGAGGCCTCGGGAGGGCTGGGGTTCGTGCCGGGCTCTCGCGCCACGGGGCGCTACCGTTTGTGCGGAGGTTTGTGTTCTCACGCTCCCCGCCCGTGGAGGAACGGGCTTTGAGCTTAAATTGTGGTTTTTGCAACTTCTGCAAGCAGTGTTGAGCCTTTAGTGTGTAGAGTTGGGTTCATAGTTCAACTTCCTCCCCATTGCCCAAATTCCTTCTGACTTGCTGTCCGTGGCTGGACCCCGTCTGACATCAGCGCAGGCTTTCAACGGACACCATTTCCATACGGGGCGCTGCTGTCAAATCTTTATTCCGTCACGTTCCCAGTGAGCTTTCCCAGGACAAACTACGTCTGCTATTGGAAGGTTCGTGCGTTCACCTACTGCCGTTGCTCCCACAAATGTTTTCCAAGTAGCCGCTGTATACCAGGCACTGTTGGAGGCGCTGGGGGCACGCCAGCAAGCAAGCAAGCAGGACAAAGACCCTCTGCCCCACCAAGCCAGCGTTTCAGTGTGCGTGCTCAGAGAACGCAGACTGCATGAAACAGAAAGCTTAGGGATTTATTGTTGTTAGACGTTGGAAAACCAGTGGAGACAAATAAAACAGAAGAAGTGAGGACAAGTGTGCCACGTCAAGCACTCTGAACTGCGAACGCGCCTTCAAAGTAACATTTGAGTAGGGCGTGAGGAAAGACAGCAAGCCGGGGCTCTGTGACAGCAGTGGGGATAGGAAGGGAGGCAGGATTAGAGGTTCTGTGTGGGAATGTGTCGCCCTGGCAGCAGCTGAGCCAAGAGTCAGGTGTGCTGCTGCTGCTGCAGTAGGGAGCGAGCAAAGGGTCAAGCTGTGCAGTGCCTTGGAGGCCCTTGTGAAGGGAGAGTGAGGTGGAAAGGCAGAAGTTTTAAACATGCGTTCTGTGAGTTTATTTGTGCTTAAAAGGATTGTTCTGGTTGCTGGTGTGTCCTGGTGGAGAATAGACCTGGGGTGGGGACTTGGGGCTGGGGGGAGGGAGTAGCCATAACTGTTTCCAGGGCTGCAGCCATACTGTGTATGAGAGATGGCCTTGGGTCCTCTCCGGAGAGAGTCAAGGGTCCATCCAGGGGGAGTGCCTGTGCAGAGCAAGAGTGTGACTGCGAGGGGCAGTGGGAGTTTCTTGCGAGGAACTGGGGATGGAGTTGCCCTTAAGCGAGGTGAGGAGGACATGGTGGAGCAGGTGTGTGGTGGGGAGAGTGGAGCACAGGTTAAATCTGAGGTTCCTGTTAGGTATTGAAATTGGAGATGGGCAGATGAATTGATTTGGGTTGGGGGGAAAGTCTGGGTTGGGACTACAAATTGAGATTCACTGCACTTAAGACTTAGAAGCCAGGACACGGGATGGTGGCTCGAGGGAGGTTGGCTGAGACAATGCGGAGCCCAAGGATTGAGACCTGGGGGACACTGAGGGGAGGGCCTGGCGTGGAACATCTGCTGGTGAACAACAGATATACACAGGACCAGAGAGCAAGACACAGAGAGTCGTTCCTTAGGGCCACTGTGACGCAGTACACCTGAGGTGGCTCTGGAGGCTGAAGCGCAAGCCTGGTGTTCCTGAGCCCAAGTGTGCAGCACAGCCCTTCCTGTGCTGGGGACAGCCGGCCTCACCTCTCAGCTCTTTTGGGTCAGCCTTGGGGGTGTTGAGGGTGAGCTCTGCCTTATAGCACTCACTCACAGTCTACAGAGGCATGGGGTTTCGGTATGCTGGTGTCTTGGAGCCACTTTGCAACCTCCCAGAGCTGTGGAGGTCTGGAGGGATAGAGTACCCTGGGAGTCTGGGTACTGTGCAGCCTGAAAGTCACAGAGACTTGGGCAGATAGCAGGGCAGACTGAGGATCAGCAGGCAGGGGTTCGGGAACGGAGCTGAGAGCCCACTCATGCTGGCCCTCGGGGGCTAGGGCGATAGCTCAGTGACATAAGCACTGGCCTGGCAAGCGCAAGGTCCTGAGTTCAGTCCCCAGTACCGTAAAAAAAAAAAAAGAACTCTCATGTTGGCCCTCGGCTTCTCTGTGAGCCTTTGCAGTCTTTTTGCCCGGGCCAAGCTCACCGCTCTAGTATGTTGTGCATTTCAGCAGTTCCTCTTGTCGTGTTCTGATGTGACTGTGTCCTGGTCCCCACTTCCACTGTGAGACTTCCAGGCCTAAAGCACAACAGTCTGGCAGACACATTGGGAGTCCTACTGCCCTGCCGTCCCTCCCCTCTGTGACCTGGCCAGGGCACCTCTGGCCTGGTCTTCTCTGCGTACACTGAACTCAGGCTATCTTGGGCTCACCTCCTGCAACCGTGCCCACAGCATCTAATGACATGTCCTGCCAGGCCCAGCTCCTACCCAACACCTGGCTGTAGATGAAAACATGTCATTTGCCTTTGCAGATTCTGCTTTAAATTACTTTTGATTTTGTTCCTACTTTGAAATTTTAGAGATTGCCAAGTACCTCGCACAGAGTACATTGCTTTCTAGGGTGTGTGTCCATTAACTTTCACTTGTGTAATCAGTGCTGTGCCCTTCCTTTCTAGTCCTCTCTTCCCTTCAGTGATGGAGTCTTTGGGAATGAGGCCAGACTCGGTGACCTCAGCAATTAAGAGGCGTGTTAAAGACAAGAGAGCTTCAAAGACTACGCTGAATGTTTCTCTTGCTTCAAAAATCAAAACAAAAATAATAAGTAAGTGCCAGTAGTTCTCAAGTGTACTCATATTTGTATTTTTCCTGAGGAAGTGATATGTTTGCTACCATATTTTGTCAAGTACAGAAAAGTTCCCATGTGACTGTCCCACCAGCTCTTGTTTTCCGTCAGTTCTTGCTGTGTCCTTGGCTCCTTTTGGCTGCTTTTGTGGTTTGCCCTTTGGGGTGACAGCTGCTTTTTTGTCAGAGGAAGGAGCGGTACAGCCCAGAGAAGCCAGCTCTTTCCTGCAAAGAACACTGCACTGTGACTGCTCAGGAGAAGAGCTGAAGGAGTGGGTGACAGTGGCCGAAGACAGGCAGAAGTGAGGGCTATAGCACGGGGTCGCAAGGCTCACCACGAAGGCGCCGTGCCTGTGGAAGCAAGGGCAAGCATTGTGGAACTGCAAGAAGGGCAAAAAGGAGGCAGGAAGGTCAGTTTTCATGACCTCTGCAGATGATGCTGGTGTGGGGCAGGCAGGGTCTGCAGTTGCCGTCCCGCCAAACCAGCCCCAACAAGGACAGCTGTCCAGCCATACCCTCAGATGGTCCAGACCGCAGTGCTGCTCCTGCCCGGATCTGGGCGTCTGCGTGTGGCTGCCTCCCACAGTGCTGCCCCCTGCTCTGGCAGGGCTGTGCCACTGCTGCAGGGAGCAGAGTGTGTAGCTTGCGCAGCACAGCAGAAAACGTTACTGCCAGCTTCTGGGGACTGTAGCCCAGTCCCTTTGCCCTGGCAGTGCCAGCCAAGGCTCTTTGAAACCATACTTGCTCAATGATAAAGTGGTTTTGTGGACTTTTTCAGAAACACATTGTCTATAATTATCTGAAACAATGCTACATTTTGTGAAATTTACTTTATATATACTGTACTTTTACATCCAGTACAGTGTCACAGTAAATCTTTTTTTTTTTTTTTTTTGTGGAACCAGGGATTGAACTCAGGACCTTGCACTTGCCAAGGAAGCACTAATTCTACTGAGCCATCAGCCTAGCCCCTAAATCCAAATTATGAAAATACAGCTATGCTTTAAATGTACTAATAATAACAGAATATACTTAAAACAAGTTTAACCAAAGAATTCACATTGAAATGTCTTTGCTACCAATGGAATAGCGTTTCAGTAGTGATTCGCTTCACCTTTGTGCAGTACTTTATTTATTTTTTTTTTCCCCCCGGAACCGGGGATTGAACTCAGACCCTTGCGCTTGCCAAGCAAGCACTTATTCTACTGAGCCACCTCCCCAGCCTGTGCAGTACTTTAAAGAGAAGTCAGATGTGTTTGCAGTGGACGCCTAGAGACAAGGGGCACCTTTGGCTGATCACAGACGATTTTGCGGGATCTCAGTGCCCCACTGGGCACAGGAAGGGTACTCCCTGTCACTTGAGTTGGAAAGAATGGCCTTTGAGAACAGGAACTGTGTGGCTCGGTTCTGGAGCCACAGAAACTGGCTTCATCATTTCTAGGACAGGTATTGCCACAGGGGCAACTTTCCCATTTGCCTTCCAATAGAAGGTAAGAAGTAGAGTGAGAGGCTGGGCAGATAGCTCTGCGATCTAAGTACCTGCCCGGCAAGCACAAGGACCTGGGTTCAGTCTCCAGCACTGCATGCTGTGCCGGCCCCAGAATCCCGGGCATGCTGAGCCAGCAACCATAAACTGGCGTGGTGGCGCACACCTCTAATCCCAGCACTAGGGAGGCCGAGACAGAAGGATCACAATGAGACCAAGCTGCTGAGCAAGAATTTGTACCAAATAAAGGATTTTTTTTTAAATAAAGGAAGCAGAGTGGGCCTTGGGCACCTGGCGTCCAGTGTGGTAGCCAGTGTCACTGCCTGGAGGACACGGTCTGTGCACACGGCCTGTCCCTTCCTGGTGGGCTTCCCTCACCTTCTGCCTGGATGTAATTTTTCGAGCTTCTAGCTCTGGGCACTTATTTTTCAGACTGACACTCATCTTGCCAATCTCCTAACCTCCAGTTAGAACTTAAAAAGCAAAATTCATTTTGTCTGAAATAGTTTACTATAGAATGCAAAAATTTATTAAAGTTCATTATTAACTCTTTAAAAAATTTTTTTGCAGACAATTCTTCTATTTTCAAAATTTCCCTAAAGCACAACAACAGAGCGTTGGCTCAGGCTCTCAGCAGAGAGAAAGAGAACTCCCGAAGAATTACAACTGAAAAGATGCTATTGCAAAAAGAAGTGGAGAAGCTGAACTTCAAGAATGCCTTTCTTCAGCTAAAGTTAGATAAGTTGGTAGGTAAGATACACAGTTTTTCCTTTTTTTTGTTTTTGGCGGAACTGGGGATTGAACTCAGGCCCTTAACGCTTGCCAGGGAAGCGCTTATTCCACTGTGCCATCTCCCCGGCCCCCACAGTTTTTCAATTCTAACTTACAGTTAAAATCTTTTTTTTTTTAATTTATTTGTTTTTGTTTATTTATTTATTTATTTTGTGTGTGTGTGTGTGGCCAGCTCAGCCCACCAGGGGGCGGGGCTGGCTGGTATGTGGTGCTGGGGGATTGAACCGTGGTCCCTGTGCTTTGCTAAGCTTGTTCTAAGTAGGTGCTTTAGACCACTGAGCCATCTCACCAGCCCCCTACAGTTAAAATCTTTTAGCTAAATTAATATCAAAACTCTAAAAATGTTTTATGTATCTCTAACTGTTGGAAAGGATGATTGAAAGTCGGTGTTGTGTAAATCTCTTAAAGGACAAACATCTGTTAAGCAGGTTCCTGAAGTCTGATTCTGGAAGTACTTATGCTCTATAAACCAGGACAGCACTGTGATGACATTAGATTGTTCATCATTAGCAATGCTGGGGACACTAGTAACTTACAATATGAGCATAATTCCTGTTACCACAAGGGAGTCCCCAGAGGGTTCCTAGTCCCTTGAATCTTAACATTTCAGTGGCTACAAGTCACAGTGAGTGGAGGTTGTCATTAGTGCTTTGCTTTTCTTTCTTTTTCTTTTTTTGTATTTGGTACAGGGTCTCACTACATACATTGGACTCAGTGATTCTCCTGTTTTGAGCCTTTGAAGTGCTGGGATTACACATGTGTGCCACCATGCCCAGTCTCAGTCTCCCTCTCAGCCTGCCCCAGGGGTGGGGCTGGCATGTCTGCCGTGCTCTGCCCACTCCGCTGAGCCATGCGGCCTGTCCTTGTCGCTCAGGAGTGATTCTGTATTTCTTTTTTGAGCCTGAGATCTGTCCGCAGAGTGGGCAGTGAGAGCCACGTGTTGCTAGGTCGCAACTACAGATTTAAATCTAACCTAAGGCCAGGGAGATCGCGCAGCAGTCTTGAGGGCCTGACCCTTAGCACCGCATGTGGTGCAGGTCCTGGCCGTGTGCCTGGTGGGCCCCTGAAACTGGGCATGGTAGCACATGCCTGCGACCTCAGCACTGGGGAGGCGGAGCAGGAGGACCACTAGGAGTCTGAGCTGTATAGCGAGACCCTATACTGAATGAATAAAAGTAATTTTTTTAAAAAAAATTTAAAAATGTAAAAATAAATCTAACATAAACAGAAATTAATTTAAGATGGAAAAATGTCCTGTAATATTTGAAAATTAAATTCCAATGGGTGTCAAACTACGTTTACTTGCCATGTGATATTGTCTGAGAGAAAAGTATCTGTAGGAAAATTTGTAATTGATAGCTCAGTGGCGTTCAGAATCTGTTAGTGTACATATGTGTACATGTGGCTGCTTGGAGTGTGCAGTCTAAGCCCTTTGTAGCTCAGATTGATGTCAGTAGAAGTTGTTCATAAATATATGGTTTGAATAAACTCCAAATTCTAAGAAAGAAAGAGTGATTAAGAGCCCTTTATTGCACATGTGCAGAATAAGAAGCTCATAGAAATAGAAGCGCTCCTGAGCAACAACTTGATAGCTGCAATTGAAATGAGCAGTCTTTCTGAGGTAAGTAGATTTCTCTTGTGAATGGTGTCATTTTTAGTATTACTGAGGATAACTGAGAGCAGCATCGAGCTTAGAGGTTTGTATTTTAAACTTTGAACAAAGAAAAGATAGTATCTGTCTTAACTGGCTAACAGTACTTTGTCATTTTGTATTCCTGATTATTGACATTACTACATAAAAGTCAGTTTGTTAGCACTACCCACGCGTTACTCCTCGTAAGGTCAGTGGAACTTAGAGCAAGTGCACACGAAGTGCTAATAGAGCCTAAGGCAGGAAGTGCTTCTGGTGCTAGTGAATGCAGTTCCTGTCGGGGGATCTCACCCTGTCTGCTCCCTGCTCCTTTGATGTGCGGTTTAAGTGCTTTCTTTATTAAGCAAGGTGTGGATAATGGGTATATCCGAAGAGTCCTGAGTTGAAAGAATGCAAGAAATGTTACTTTCTATCATATGAGAGTTTTCCTATGTTTTCTGGGGGTTTTTGCCAATCTGTCCTTTTATGAACTTCTGAAAGTCACTTTTAGGGCTGAGTTTAAACACCGTGTCCTTACAGTAAGAAGGCCAGAACTGTGTCAGCCTGTGTGGTCAGTGTGCAGCTCCTCTCTCAGAATGTCCTGGAAGCTGGCTGCTCTCCTCGACGGAGGTCTGGAGGTCTTCGGCTGGCATTGCATTTTTTTTCCCTGTGGGTACTGAGAGGGCGGGAGAGGAAGCGCAGCACTGACCAACGTTGGGACAGTAGGACATGTCTCACCCAGGTCCTTGTGTCCTTGTTCCTTCTGGTGCTTCTCTCTCATTTCCCACCTCAAGTAGGTGGCAGTCTTTGTTTCTTTACACACAAGCAGGTACAAATAGAAACACTTGCTCGGTTTTTTTCTTACATGCAGGCCAGCGCACTCTGCTCGCTCTCCGACCCCCTGCCCTGTGACTTAGACCCTGACCCCAGCATGGACTTACGGCTCTGCCAGGCTCTCACTGGGGCACAGCTGGTGTTTGTGCTTTTCCTTCTTTAGATTATTCCCATCAGGATAAAAAGGTCTTTTGCCCCATTTCTTAAAGATGCAAAAGGATTTAGTTTCATTTCCCACTTGGCTTTTTCTTGGTTCTTTCCTTTCCAGCAGAACGTTTTTTAGTCACTTCAAGTTTATTAAAATTATAGCAGTACAAGTTATCCAGGATGCAGATTATTAAAAGATTGACTCTATGAAGTCCGCATTAAAATAAAAACAAAAAGACATAAAATAACCCACAAAACAGTGAAAACAACACAAAAGATACTCACCAGCAAAGTCTCTAAACCTTAAATTTTGAGACAGAAAGGAAATAAATTTATGCAGCTCACTAATCCACTTCTGTCTTCATCTGTTCCAGGACTTGATTCATGACCAAATTGTTTTATGGTCATGGTCCTTTTCTTGAGCCTTTGATTTTTGGTTTTCACTTTCCAGTGAGGATCTGGTGTTCTCATTCTCATTTTTCGCTGCGGAGGACTTTAAGTCACTGTCTTAGCTACTTTGCTTTGTTTTTGAGAATGGATTTCAATCTCTGTCAGTCTTCTTTTCCTGTTACTAGTTGCGCTATTATGAGCACGATTTTTAGAGTACATTGTTTTTTTTACCCTCAGGATTTTTTTCAGTGTGAGTTCCTTTTTATTGATGCCAAGGAACCAAACTCAGGACCTCATACTTGCCAATCAAGTGCTGTGCAGCTGAGCTATATCCACAGCCCTCTGTGTATGCTCTCACTTTCTTGGTCTCTGTTGTTTTTCCTTGTTTCTACAGCAAAATTTTCTTGAGCGTTGTGGCTGCTGTCACCTGTTTCCACTAAGCTGCTGTCCCTCAAGTTCGTCCTAGTGGGCCAGGGTTGCAGAAGCCCACAGACAGGATGTGGTTCTCATGGTGGCCTTAGGACTTGTGGCAGCCTCCCCTTCAGCCCAGGTGCTGGCTCCTTTTTCTTCTCCTGGGTACCCCAGATTCATTTTTGCTGCTCAGCCTGCACCTGTTCTCCCTGGAGTAAGTCATTTCTCCACTCTCACCGTTTGAATCACCACATCTGAGGCACGGCCAGCAGCCCCTCCCCCAGGGCAGCTGCCACCACGCCACCCCTCTTGCAGTCCATCTGAAGGGGCACCTGTCTTCTCCTCACTTCCTCTCCCACCCTTTGTCTGATCCCTCAGTGCTGTCCACATCCCGTCCAGTTTTCCTGAGCATTGCCTAGAGCCCAGGCCCGTCCTCTGCAGCTCTGCTCTCCTCAGCGTAGCAGCCACAGTGACCTGTGACACTCGTCTCTGCTGGCACCATGTGCACACCTGTAATCCCTGCACTCAGGAAGCTGAGGCAGAAGGACCACGGGTTCCAGCGTGGGCTGCAGAGCAGGACGCCATCTCAGAGCAACCACAGGAACGTTTGTCTCTGCCTGAAGCCCTCCAGGATTTTGGCCCAGTGTGATCTGAGCCTGAAGCTCTTGCTGGCTTCTCTCCTGTTTGTCACTGTCCCTTTCTGTTGCTCTTGGATCTAGTCAGCGCAGGGCTCCCACACTCCTCTGACACTAGAGAGCAGCTCGCTGAGTGCAGGCCCAGCTGCCCGCATGCCCGGTCAGAGCCCCGCAGGCGGCTTCCTTGGCCACTGTGCATTGAGCACCACCACAGCCCGTGTCCTGCTTCCTTGCTTTAAGTATTCTTAACACTTTAATACTGTAAAACGTGTAAGTGTACTCGTTCCTTTTGCTTATTGTAGCCCACCAGAATGTAAACTTCTTTTGAGTACAGGGATTTTTATCTGTACCAAGGAAATGTCTAAAATATATTAGAATGCAGTACTTATGTTTCCCAACTAAGCATGAGCCAATCTGGGAGACTGAGGCAGGAGGCTAGACCAAGCATTGCCTCCCTTGAACTCTATGTCTGACGGCATCAGCACTGCGCTGCATCAGAGTCCAGAGTCAGGTTTCCAGGTCCATCACGCCAAGTGCTTCTCTGTTGGAGTTTGCGCATCCTAGGTGAGCCGTGCCCAGGGACCAGGTGTCCTCACTCTTCTGTGAGAGCAGGTCCCTTCACCAGCACACAGGGCAGACAGCAGGGAAGCAGAGTTCAGGCCCTGCAGCGCAAGGGTTGGCACCTATCTCACCTGGTTGGGAGAGTGGCCTCACAGCATGGCTCGGTGTACGTCCTTTCCCGGTCTTTTAAGGAACTGTTGAATAAACGTGTGTCAGAAAATTGGACAAGAGCAAAAATAGAAGAGTAATATCACCTGGATTTTTAACTAACTAACTTTCTTTCTTTCTTTCTTTCTTTCTTTCTTTCTTTCTTTCGCAGTGCTGGGGATCTAACTTGGGACTTTGCACTTGCCAGGCACGTGCTTATGGTGCTGAGCTATCTCTGGCCCTGGTTTGAACTTTAGAAATGTATAAAAGAACCTAAATGGGGCTGGTGAGATGGCTCAGTGGTCTAAAGCACCTACTTAGAACAAGCTAAGCCAAGCAAAGCACAGGGACCTCAGTTCAATCCCCCAGCACCACATGCCAGCCGCCCACCCTGCTCAGCCCACACACAAAATAAATAAATATTAAAAAAAAAAAAGCATCCAACAAATATGTTAAAAAAAAAAAAAAAGAACCTAATTATACGAGTATACAGATCTCATGCACGTGTGTTTGTAGGCCTGTGTATTTATCCCCACACACAGAGAAGTCAGGGAAGTGACTGAACAAGCCCTGGTGTCCAGCACGCAGCGCAGGGGTGGGTGAAGAGGGGCCGTGTCTGCCTCACGGCCTTGTGTTCACTCGGCCTTCGAAGGCTGGCGCGGGAGCGAACCGTGCTGTTGCTGCCCATAGCCGCAAGTCTTGGATGCTTACTTGATTCTTCCCGTTTTCTTTGTTCTTGTCAAACCCAGTTCCATCAGAGCTCCTTTCTGCCGTCCACTAGCAAGAAGAAGCGGCCCAGCAAGCAGTGCGAGTTAATGCGTCTTCCGTTCGCAAGGTAATTGCCTCAGAATTGGATGATATACGGCTTAGAGACTTACAGTGAGTGTGGAAGGAGGTAGATTGAACTTCGTAGTTTCTTGTGTGCTATCTTGAAACACAGAAAACTTTTTTTTTTTAATGTGTTCATTACAGGGTCTACAGGGTCTCACTACGTACATCAGACTCACAATGATTCTACTGTTTTCAGCCTCCCAAGCCCTGGGATTACAGGCGCGCGCCACCACGCCCAGTCTCAATCACCGACTCAGTGCACCGCAGGGGCGGGACAGGCATAGCACACCAGGGATCAAACCCCTGCCAATGCACTCACTCTGCCTAAGCAGGCACTTTAGTCTGCTGAGCTATCTGGCTGGCCCTCGAAAAAAATAATGTATTTCTAATACTGCATCAGCAACAGTTATATTACTAACATCATCTAGGTAAAAGAAATCAAACATCCTTATAGAACTCATCTATGAATGCTGAAATAGTATGTGGCTTTCTCAGTACCTCTAGTGAAAGAGAAAGGAAGGAAAAAAGACAGGAGACTAGAAGGAGGAAGGGGAAGAGACAAAGATGAAGGGAGAGAGAGAGGAACAGAAGAGAGGAAGGAGGTGGTAGGGCTGGGGGAGGGAGGGCAGTCAGGCACAGCCCAGGTGCCCTGGGCTCCTCAGCACTTTTCCATGATACCCAGCAGCCCTGGGGCTTGGCACCCTCTGCCTGCCTCCTAGGTCTGTGGGGTCTGATGTGTGGGCTGTGTGTGCCAGCCCACAGGAACCCAGCCCTCAGCTCAGTGGCAAGTCCATCTGTGGCCATTTTTCTGTGGCTACTTTTTTTTTTTTTGTGGAACTGGGGATTGAACTCAGGCCCTTGCATTTGCCAGGGAAGCGCTTATTCCACTGAGCCATCTCCCCAGCCCCTGTGTGGCTACTTTTCATTTCTTTATTTCAGTCTGCTTTTTGCTGGGGAAGCTGTTTCTATATTTACTGTTACAGAAGCCCACGCTTTAAGGCTGACTTTGATCTTTGCTTTTCTCCTACTAAAATTCTTATTTCTTGATTTATTTGCTGCTAAGTCGTAGAAAGTAACCTGTGTGAAATCGGCCGCCGTGGAAGCTGGTCACTGAGGCCTAGAGGCAAGAAGCAGCTCAGGGAGCTGACAGTGTAGGCCTGAGTCCTCCCGTAGCTTTCAGCGTTCTGTCTGTTGTGTGACTCACAAGTGTAAGGGTTTTACTGAAGTGCCTTAAGTAAAAGCACTAGGCTAGTAAAGGCACTTGGTTATTAAAATAATGTCTCTTTCGTAGTAGGAAGAGAAAGCAAGCTCATATCTACTGTGTTGCTTTCTATTTATCCTAGTTTTATCCATTGATTTACCTGTTATGTACAGTCTTACATCTTTAAGCCAGTATATTTTATTTACTGTAGCTTTGCAATTGTACATTTTATTGCCTTATAGGTCAGTCTTTTATAAAAATCTGGTGACATAGACATATGAGTTGAACAATAGCTTGTTCTCCAAAAAACTTTTGTATGTTCTTGTTTGTT